CTAAATCTTAATGAGCCCTAAAGACGCTCACAAAACAGCCTTCACAACGCCATACGGACACTACCAGTTCAAGAGGATGCCATTCGGGCTGAAGAATGCGCCCGCTACTTTTCAAAGATTAATGGATAACGTATTATCAGCTCTCCAGGGAAACGAGCTCTTCGTATACATGGATGATATTGTATTATACGCAAAATCACTAAGAGAACACGAAATAAAATTCCAACGACTAGTACAAAGATTACGTTCAGCGAACTTAAAGCTACAACCGAATAAGTGTAAATTCCTGTGTAAAGAAGTCTGTTACTTGGGACACATTATTGGATCACATGGCGTCAAACCAGACCCCGAGAAAATTAAGGCTGTAAGTGATTTTCCCGTTCCCCGGAGCCCTAAGAACATTAAACAATTTTTAGGCCTCGCTGGATACTACCGAAGATTCATTCCAAACTTCTCCAAGACAGCTAAACCACTCACTGATTTACTGAAGAAAGATAAAGAATTTCATTGGTCTACAAGTCAAGAAAGTGCTTTTATTACTTTAAAAACCGCCCTATGCTCCAATCCTATACTACAATATCCCGACTTCACGAAACCTTTTATTCTTACGACCGATGCATCTGGATATGCTATCGGCGGCATTCTAAGTCAAGGCCCCATCGGGAAAGATTTACCAATCGCCTATACTTCACGCGTTTTAAACAAGGCGGAACAAAATTACTCGACCATTGAAAAGGAGTGCTTAGCCATTATATATTGCGTGGGTCACTTCCGACCTTACCTCTATGGTAAACCATTCACTATTGTTACTGATCACAAGCCGTTGGTATGGTTGCACTCGGTTAAAGATCCTTCATCGCGTTTATGGAAATGGAGAACTAAATTACTGGAATATGAATATGAGATAAAATATAAAAAAGGCACTTTAAATAATAACGCTGACGCCTTATCTAGAAATCCCCCAGTAAATTTTATTTTCCCCATTGATTCCGGTGATGATTCTGATGAATCTTTATTTTCTCCTAGATCACGGATCACTACCCCGCTACCTCCCTTACCCGCACCCAACTCTCCAGGTCCTTCGAACTTGTCAATAACGAATCCTGCAAATCAAAGGAATATGCCATTAAATTCACCTCATGATGATTATATAGAAATGTCTAACCCTGCGTCAGAACTAACAATTGAAGAAATTCCTATGTCAAGTGATGACGAATTAAGCTCCGATTCTGACCACGATTACGAGGAAATGTTCACTCATATGACCACGCCATACGAAAATCGCCCCATTGAATATAATGTAAATCAAGCTCCTAACATTATCGAAGTTCGTAATAATTTCTTGGAACAAAAGGGAGTTCACGCTATATTTGTCCAATTAAACGGTATGCCTTTTGACCAAGGAGCTCAATTATATTTTAATGCTAATCTATTGCCAAAGTATGAACATCTTACATATGAACGAGCTACTATACGTACCATTAGAGCTAATACTTTAATTTCTCTACCCATAAAATTAAATTCTTATACGTTAATCGAGCCAACCAACCTGAAAAATTGTTTACTGTCTCTTTTAGACGTAATAACGGAACTAGAATTAACAAACATATATATGTCTAAAAGTATTTCATTCGACGACCTACCGTGGTCATATGTCATTAAACAATTAAAGAAAATTTTAACAGGAACCAATTGTCGAATAATTATTTGCCAAAATTTGGTAAGAAATCCTACTGCACCAGAACGCGAACAATTAATATTAGAAAACCACGCGTCAGCAGTAGGAGGACATAAAGGTGTCACTAAAACCTATAATAGGATTAGGCCTCATTATTTTTGGACTAATATGAAAAAAGATATACAGGACTTTATCCAGAAATGTAAAGATTGTCAACTGAAAAAATTAACAAGAGTAAAAACTAGACAGCTCATGGTTATTACAGACACCCCAGGCGCAGCTTTCGACAAAATTTCATTAGATATCATGGGACCTCTACCTATAACGAACGATAACAACCAATATATATTAACCATACAAGATCTATTGACTAAATACTCTGTCGCTGTTCCCTTAGTCGAGACCACTTCGCTTTCCATAGCTGACGCATTTTTTAAAAATTTTATTTGTATCTACGGTGCTCCTAAAGCCATGTTAACGGATCAGGGAACAAATTTCTTATCTTCTCTAATGAGAGCTTTAGCAAAAAAATTTAAAATACAACAGTTTAAAACTACAGCCTACCATCCACAATCCAACGGGTCTATTGAACGATCGCATCACGTTCTCACAGAATATCTGAAAACACAGATAGATAATGAAAGAAATTGGGATAAATATTTAAGTCTCGCTATGTTCTCATGTAATACGAGTGTGCATGAGGGTACAAAATTTTCACCGTACGAATTAGTATTCGGAAGACTTGCTCGATTGCCCTCTTCGCACGAACCTATCGAAGAAAACCTCGAACCAACGTATCGTGAATACTTAACGGATTTATTTACCAAATTATCTGAATTACAGAACCAGGCGCGAGTAAACTTATTGAAAGCAAAAGAAACAAGCAAGAAATATTATGATAGACGAATTAACGTGCATAACTTTAAAATTGGAGACTACGTATTCTTGTTGAACGAACCTAAGAAGGGAAAATTCTCGAATCAATATACCGGACCCTATAAAATAACGGAAATCTTGCCTACGAATAATGTGAGA